GTTGTACGATTAATTTGGAAACTGAATTGATATGCTATATATTCCGAGAATTGTACTCCATTAATATGGTCGATATTAAGAAGTTGTTTTATTCGTCTGATATGAATATTTATGATTTAAAATTTTTAAGATCTTTGTGATCTGATCCGATTTTTTTCTGATATGGTCTGATAATCATGTATGATCCCGCAATATGAATCTTTCTGATCTGAGTTGAATTTTTCATATCTGATCTGAGTTTTTCTGATTTTGATCCGATCTGAATCATTCCGATTTTGATCAAAATATTTTTTGTGTGATTGAGTGTTTATTAGTATTATTAAGTTATTATTATGATTGTCATTGTCATTGTTATTATCATCATATTTATAATTATAATTATCATTGATAATAACCATAGTAATAACATATGATGTTAAATGAATAACAATAACATACAAATAATGATTATAATAATAATAACATTATAATAATATCAATGAAAGCAACTGATGGTACTATGGGCCTGACCCATAGCCCAGATATAGAAACGAATACTTAATTCCGATCCAGCCCAGACAAAGGATTAATGAGGAAGCCATAAAAGCCTAAACAGGGGATCCAAATCCACCACGAGACTGGACACGCTTGAGCCGACCTGGACAGCAGGCGTCAGGCCCAGTGGTCAGCCTGTGGAGGTCGGACTCTCCCTAAGGCTCAAGAACGAGTCGCAAGGGCCCGAACAGGGGGATCCAGGTCCATCATGAGATCAACCACACCTGAGCCAACCTGGACAGCAGGCGCCAGGCTCAGCGGAAATCCCTTGGAGGTCATACTCTTCCTAGGGATTACGTGTCAATAGTTCCATAACGGATGAGCATAAGTGGCATCAGAAGAGTCATGAGCACAAAGGAGGCATTAAAGAAGAGTTATCGCAGGAACGTTACAAGAGTCCTACTATATTTAGAGTGATTAATTACAATAGTTAAGTCTTCTATTAATTGTACCATACAACACCTATAAATACTCTTGTACATCTCTTATAAAAAGAAGACCTTTCCAGATTAATAATATTGTTATTACTTTCTTTCCTACGATCAATGAATATTTGATAGATCAAGCTCTTGTTGCTAGAATTATATTCCACCAGCAACCTATAATAATAACCTACAAAAATATTTAGATTGGATCGGAATCAAAAATAACCTTTCTGATTTGATATGAGTGTTTCTAGTCAGATCTAAATTATTTGGAATTAATCTGATCTGAATTGAACTTTTTAGACTAATCAGATTTATCTTTTTGTTTGATCTGGTCTGAATAAACCAAAAATAAGTAATATCAGGTAAACAATAAGAACATGCATAAGAGTATCAGAATAGCTTCTAAGGATATGCTATTTACAATTTTTATCTTAATTTTTATCTAGACTTTTCCATTAGCCATTCCATCTCTATTACAAACTAACAAAATGTTTTAATGTGTGGAGTCTACATAATGTAAAGTGTTAGTGTTGGGATAATGGGATCGACATAGATCGGCCCATTACCCTCGGTCTTTTCTCGATCGTCTGTGTTTATGAGAAGACGCTCGTCCTCAGAGTACCGCTGCCCAGCACAGATCTGGGCTTCGGCCTGCAAATTTACGAGAACCGCACGGATGACGCGTCTAACGTTATTCAGGTCCATCAGGGCGCTCGGCCCTTGTTATGGCGGGAAACCAAGATAATGGCGGGAACCAAGATTTGGTGGTTCACAAAATTCATATCAGAAACGTTCAAGCAGGGGGGAGAACACCTTCTGATACGAACTACGAAGTACTTTTTTCACTTTTTCATGAATTGCAAATATTCTAATAATAATGGTGATGTTAAGCGAAAGAAAACTGGGCCAACTAGTGCCGCTTCAAAATACGAATCAATAAATATCGTCAGTCGTTTTGCACAAAATGTATCACTAATATGACCTGATAGCAGATAGCTCATCAACAAAATATTTCGACATTACTTGAAGTTCTCATCAAATGTTTGTATTTGGTGATACCGGTCTTTTCACGCTTTGTATGCTGAATTATTTTTGTACTTTTCTTTTCAATCCGTCCCAAATTTATCTCTTCTTTCCCTTTTTAGTAAAGAATTTGTGGTTCACAATCACTATTACACATTCTTACACATTTCTCTTTCCTCTGCACAACTCTCCACTATATATTTTTCACTATCTTAATATGTCTGCCAATTATACTTGTGAAGATAAATATGGGACGGAGGGAGTAGCAAAAGTACTACGTATAAGGCATCGCACAATTGAAAATATAGAGAATCATAGAAAAACAAATGAAATGTATATACTAGTATATAATTTCACTATATTTCCTCAAATAAAAGATGTTAGCTTTAAATGAAAGTTCAAAGCAAATTAAATTGCAAGAACAGGACTATAAGATTCAAAACTTCAAATATGAGCGAGTAATATTTCCTACTCATGTTCAACTTTTTTCATACTTTATACTCCGTAGAAAATACTCTTAAATATTAAATATTGATATTTTTATATTTGCGAACATAACTCGCTTAGGTGTTCGAAACTAAAATTCGTTTGACAAACTAATATTGGCTGAGTCGACTGAACCTGCTGAAAATTGATAAAGTTTTGACTAAATTGATTGAATTGACTGAATCTGTTGAATTATGAACTAATTATACTGAGTATTTAAACTATACTTCGTCTTTGATTAATAAAATAAATAAAGGAGTGTACGTGCGTACGAGTGTATGAGTCCATTGTCATTCTGTTGACTGAGTCACCGTGACTAACCTTCCCACCATCCTGTCGGATCGGGGTGGGGGTTCCTGAGGTGGGAGATTCCGCCTTTTGGAATAAAGGATTGAATAATGAGGAATTGAGGGAATAATTAGAAAATGTACTGCAGATGTGATGGGAAGATTTGCATTGCAGTTTGAATATGTTGATTCGTTCCTCTAATCCACACCCACCCGTGAAAGGCACTTAATGTTGGACACTGATTTCCGAGTACGGTGGTCGGTGGATATGATCTGTTTTTTTCCTTTATTACTTCCCGTCAAATAAAGTTGGTACTACGTCTCTTGGTCCAACGGGATGCTGAGGATCAAGAGACTAGACTTGTGAAGACAGAGTAATCAAAGTAGTTATAACATGCTTATACATAATAAGACAACATAGCTACGTAGATTATAACAGAAAATTGTCCATTTCTTTCCATCTCCACCAAATTCTCTCACAATCTTTTCTTATCCAAAGTTACACACAAAAGAAATGCACAAAAACCATCACTGGAAAAGGGTTTTTAAAATATTACTAAAATTAATTACAAAAATGATACTCTGAAATTAAAAGTCATTAGAGTGTATCATCATTATCGCTTGAGTGTAAAAGTTGAAAAGGAGTTACTATGATTAAAATTATTACTATAATCACTCGGAGCCGACCCTGAGGGTGTGTAGGGTGTCCAACCGCACAGGGCCCAATTTTTTTTGTAGTAATATACTATTACCTTCGTCCCAAATTGATTTGCAAATTTAACTTTTCTTGGTCAAACAATTTCATTTTATTTGCTTAATTAGGATGTCAATCTGATATGCGTCTTCTTGGATTGGATGAGAGTATGACTTTGGAGAGCAAAGTGGAGAGCGCACATCGAATCCATGTGGACGATTGATGTCTTGTCTACCTTTCCTCTCTTGTTTATTTTATCGTTTATCTTCCTTATCTTTTTATATTCTTATGTTATTTTTATCTTCTAGCTTTTTTATGTTCTTTTATTTATTTTTCTTTTATCTTGGTTATATTCATGTGTTATTATTGTCTTATATTTATGTATCTTTATTTTATTCATTTTATCTTACTTTTTTTTCCTTTTCTTGTCCGCCTTCTCTTTTTGGCATCGATATCATAGATCGGTTCATGTTAGCCGACCCCAAATTCTTTTGGGATTAAGGCTTGGATGTTGTTGTAATTAGGATGTCAATTTTTAATAATATTCTAATTTGGAATTTACAACTTTGAAGAGATATTAATATAGTTTCTGAATATATAAATTTTAATTATTAAAAATGGAATTAATTATCGATAGAAAGCATTGACTTTTTTTATTGGTTGACAAAAAAATGTTGACTTTGCAAAACAATTTGGGACGGATGGAGTAGTATTACTTAGAGCTGGAGCGTATATATAGGAACGAAGGAGTACTAAATCCTCCGTTTTCACCGGTGTGAGAATCTTAAGCTTTAGAAACTAAAAAGATAAGAAGTGAGACATGCGGGATTCGAACCTAGGTGAAAATAAAATCATGCACGCTGAATCTCTAAACATCAACTCACTAGACCGAATCAACTATCGTAACATATTCAATGACTAGTTTTTAGTATCCATCATCTACTAGTGACTTGTGACTCTGAAATAACTGTAGTAACTCTTGTTCAATTACTTGTACACTGTGATTAGTCATATTTTTGTTCAAAAACATAATTGGTCATATTCTTGTCCAGAGAAACTCTATTAGTAATATAAATGTCACTTTTTCAATAAAACTTAAACTCTTATTTAGAAACTCATCATATGTTTTACTCCTATTTAAGTAATTACTAAATTGATATTGGATAGTCATATCAACATGTATATATTATACTCCGTATAGAGTATATATTTGAGAAAACAACATACTCCCTCCGATTCTTAAACAACTTCTCACTTTCCTTTTCGGGATGTCCCGAAATTAACTTCACACTTCTTCTTATTTCCTTATTTGGCAAATTATCTACATCAAAACAATGCAAAACAGTGTCAAACAATGTCAAACAGTACCAAACAGTGTCAAACCGTGCACTTCACAGTAAAGTCTGATTTATTCTTAATCTGTGTGAAGTCAAATTGTGAAACTCTTTGAGAACCGGAATTAACTTCACACTCAGGGAGTAGTATTTTCCAGTAACCCGTTGTATTTATTTACTCATTTTTGTAGTTTAAAATGACTCCATCCATAGTCAAGTCTTCCATGCTTCCGGCACATGCATATTTCTTCCCACAATCGAAAGGATATTTGTATGCCCTTCTAGTCTCGCCCACCACCACTCCACAGTCCACACACAACCCCTCTCCTCCCGTAAAGAACCCCCGTCTCCCCCGCCCGGCCTCCCCAATAAACCCTGAAAGCGCAAACCCGTATTAATTCTACTCCTGAAATTGCTCAATTCCCGATATGGGCAACTGCTGTGTAAGCTCCGGCGTCAAATTGCCTCCACATTCTCAATCGGCGGCAAACTCCAACCGGAGAGCCTCCTCTCTCAGCCACCCGCTGCCGGAGGAGGAGACCGTCAAGGAGGTTCTCTCTGAAACTCAAAACCTCTCCAAGCCCACATTCCGCATCGACGACGGGCCCTGTAAACATCCACCAGTCACCCAAGATCAGGAGAAGCGCCAAGACGACGTCGTTCCCAAGAATCCCGCCGCCGCCGCAGCGGATTTGAAGTCCGGGGATCTATCCGAGGATTTCTCCGCCTCTGAGATCTGCAGCACTATCAGCGAGAGCGTTCCCATCATCACGGTAACGGAAAAATTGGATCTTGGGGATGAAGTCCGGCAGAGGTCCCCGGCGAAAGTGCGGAATCGGCCATTTCCTGAAGAGGCGAGAAGGGCGAGGTCGGCTGGTAGGTCGCCGTCGAGAATATCCCAACCGTCTCCGGCCAAAATCAGAGCAGGAGTAGGGCGGGATTCTCCCGGCCGTTCCCCGGCAAACGTGAAAAGGACTAACAACTATGAAAGAGTTGGACGAAGGTCGGTTTCTCCTGCGACGAGGACGGAAGACGGTGGTCCAAGAACTGGTCCGGGCTGGACCCCATCAATGAGAAAATCTGGGAAGTCACCGGGTCGGGTCAGATCAGATATCAGTGACAAGACCCGAATGTTGGGTAAAAGCTTTACCAGTAAAAACAATAAGGCCGACAGTAAAGAAAAGATGAAAACAACAGATACTAATGAATTGCTGGAAAATCCGCTGGTATCTCTGGAATGCTTCATTTTCTTATAAATAAAGTTTGACAACTTGAACTTATTTAAGCATAAAATGGGGCTTTTGGCCCTTTCTTTTGGGGTAAAGTTTATACCCAAAATGTAATGTGTTTGTTACAGGGAAAGATAAAATGTAATTATGTATATTGTAGACTTCCCAAGTGTTAATAAAAAATGGCACACAATTATTAACTACATATTGTAATGTGATTGATATTGGGAAAGATCAGTTCTCAGGTGGACATGAAGTTATTTATTAGAAGTGTGTACCTAATTATTACGTACTAGATGTACTGATGTATACAAAACCAGTTCTATTTATTTAGAAAAATGTGTGGTGTACACCTTCTATGTACACCTTTTGTGTACAGACGTCTGTCTCCAGCAGACGAGTTGTCTGTCCACAGACAAGTCATGTGTACACCATGCAAAGTTGATTTATTTATACATATCATATCTCCCTCTCATTCAACTTTAATGACTTTACTATTTTTGTAATGGATATAATTATATGGTGAAATTCATTTCAATAATTCGTTTTTTGACACAAGTAATTCAAACTTGTAAGATTGTGCACATAAATAGATTAAGTGAAATGGGGCTAATAGTTTGATCTTTTTGATATTGCTTTCATCTAAGTCCACATCTTGGGTACCATAGTACCATACATCTTCTCTTCGTGCTCCAACTTCCCCATCTCACACACTCTTCTTCTACTCCTATTTGAATTGATTTTTCTCATCTTAATCAAAAATTTTAATTTTATCTTCCTCCCACCCTCATACAAAAATACCTAACACACTCTTCTCCTCTTGAATCCGTTTTTTCTCATCTTAATAAAAATATTTAATAATCGCCACCCTTTGTTCATTATTTTGAAACCACGAGATACAATTGAGACATGATAATTAAGACAGGGTGCAGTGTTTGGGGGCTAGAGACTATAGGATTAGTTCATATTTGTGGGAGAATGAAAAGCTTAAAAAAGAGTGGGACAAAATGCCACTTGGGAACAATTTTTTTGGGTGAAATCTGTGAACTTAGAATAAATAAAAAAATACATTAGAGGCTGATGGTAGAAGGGGTAGAAAAAAAAGGCTACGTGCCATGTTTTATCTTGGGTTTTCATTGCCATTGTGCATCCATTTTGGGTGTTTGGATGAAACACTTTGGTCTTTTCGAGGGTGTTTGGCAAATGGCTGTTAGCTATTAGCTGTTGGCTGTTGGATGATTGATAACGTATTCTTTTGCCTGTTTTAATTAGCCGATCATATTAGCGGTTTGTAAAACAGTTTTTGGTTAAATGTCATTTATAATTAGTTGAAAACTTATTAAATGACTTTTGAGGACATAATTTTTTTTGTTAATGTTAGGAACCGGTCTTCATAAGCTATATAATAAAATCTCCGTTTTTGAATACTTATAGTTATAAACCTACCTCGTATTAAATTTTATAAGAATTGACATCATCAAGATAAAGAGATAAATCCAACTATAAGAAACATATCGTATGTCTCTGATCTTTACAATTTTGTTGGTGGGCTTGCACACACGAGTGCACTAGCTAGTAGCTAGGTCTTAACTTTATCAATATATCTAGGTTAAATAGGTTTTTGGTCCCTTCATATATGACACATTTTATTTTAGATCTTTGTAATTTTTGTTTTTCATCCCTGCAATATGCACTATTTTGGTTCATCTCTAATTTTGAAATCACTGTACTTACAAAAAAAATTATTTTCGGTTACATAAATCTACTAGAAATACTTGCAATTTTATAATTTTTTTGAGGCTATTATGAGTGTTAAAATAATGTAAAACCAAGTATACACATTTTAGAAATATCTATTAAAAACCTTCTTAAAAATAAAATTAAATATTTGTTTAATAACATGACAAAGAATCAGAGAAAATCTATTAATCAGGGTGAATTTGAGGTCAAGTGGAGGTCGTTATCATCGGTGATGGACTAAAAAGAAAATCAACGTAAACGGCAGGGACGAAAAACAAAAAAAAAATCAATTTTGTAGGGATCTAAAACAAAATGTACTGTATTTCCAGGGACCAAAAACATATTTAAACCGGTGCTTAACTTTTACAGTAATACGCGGAAAAATAAGAGAAGAAGAGGTATGTCACGGTATGTGTGTGAAACAGAATAAACCAAAAGAGTATTAATGTGAAGAAGAGGTATATACAGGGATATCGCAGACGGAAATATGCAGATCTTCGTGAAGACCCTGACAGGGAAGACGATCGCCCTCGAGGTCGAATCATCGGACACAATCGACAATGTGAAGACCAAGATCCAGGACAAGGAAGGCACCCCGCCGGACCAGCGGCGGCTCATCTTCGCCGGGAAGCAGCTCGAGGACGGCCGCGCCTTGGCCGATTACAATATCTAGAAGGAGTCAACCCTCCACCTTGTCCTCCGCCTCCGTGGTGGTGCGAAGAAGCGTAAGAAGAAGACCTACGCTAAGCCAAAGAATATGGTAATGTTTATATATCAACAATATGGATTTAAATAAATTAACAAGAAATTGCAGATTTTGGTGGATGAATTCTTCACGGGAACACAAAATTGATTTTAAATTACATCTACTTTATTTGCAATTATGTAAGGAACAGGTTCAAATACATCCGTGTACAATGATCATATAAACCCATTTAGTCTATAAAAGCAATCAATTTGGTCATTTTACTGGAAACAACCCTCTGCACCAGGTTAATTGCATTTTTGTTTTGTTTTTTATCCTTTTCATTTTCTTTTCTCTTTACTTTTCTTCATTTTTCTGACTTCTCTTCCCAATCTGAGGCTTCCAAGCTTCCACTTTTTGCTTCAATATAATATCTCTTTAGTTTCTTTGGTTATTTCTTTTGCCCATTGTTGCTAGAGTCTTTAGGATTGATTAGTTCATATTTGTGGGAGAACGATTCATCTCCTTGCTGCAAGCCACTCACAATGACGTTTGAACCCAAACATGATGGAAGTGGTGCGTGCTGAAATTGTCAAACTGCTGGATACAGGTATCATTTACCCCATCTCTGATAGTCAATGGGTAAGCCCGATTCATGTTGTCCCCAAAACGGGGGATGACTGTCACGAAAAATGAAAGGGGCAAACTTCTACCCAGTCGAACTGTTACCAGGTGGCGAATGGTAATTGATTATCGCAAACTGAATGAAGCCACCCGGAAGGACCATTTTCTCCTCCCCTTCATCGATCAATTAATAGAGAGGTTGGCAGGCCATAGTCATTATTGTTTTCTGGATGGCATGAGTGGATACTTCCAAATCCATGTCAACCCAGGAGACCAAGACAAAACTACGTTCACATGCCCTTTTGGGACCTTTACTTCACATGCCCATGGAACCAGCCGGGAGGGCCTCCTTCCTAGCTGCCGTGTCTGCTCAACTTGCTGGGACACATACTCCGATCCCTTCGGGATCCATCTGTGCTGGTACGTCTCCCTTCGTATCGTCCTGAGGACGCTTCCAAGTCTCTAGGGGTGATGTGACTCAAGCGTATGTGCTCCGCTTCCTGCGACATCAACCTCCAGAATCCCTGAGCCAAGTGTCAATAGCACGAGTGGTCTCCTAGAGTGCGTGCACCCCAACAACAAGCGATGTCAGGTCCCTGTGCGGAGCATGACCTGGTTCACCTTTGAGGTGATTATGGGTAGATGGCCTGTTACGACTGTAATCCAGTGTACCCCTCAAGTATCCATAATTGGAAACTTGATTCTAGAGATTTTCTGTGGATATCACCACCTAGCTCCTCACACAATGGATGTCAGGCAGTTCAAAGTGCTCTGTGTGAATGGAAAGTTGTATCTGGCATCATGTTCCCGCGGCAGTGCTACACAACATGTCTGCGCTGATGATTATTGATAAGCACAATAATTACTTATGTTTTACATAAGTGATTATAATTATCTGTACAAAAATTAAAGCAAAAACAGGTAGATTAATAGGGTTGTAAACGAATCAAATAATTTGTGCTCAATTCGCGATTCGAATTCATATAAGACGATTCGAATTCGGAAATTTCAAATACAAATACAAATAAGAATATTAAATTTGATTCGAGTTATTATCAAATACAAATAAGAATATCAGTGTATTCGATTCGAATATTAATCAAATATATTTGATTAATAATAATGGTAATATTAATGTCAATATTAGTAATAACAATATAGCAATACCCTCAAAGTGTAACTCATATATACACTTTTGCATACAAATTACAAGCCTATTTGCAATAAATCAGAATATATACAAATACAAATCAATTTTTTTTGTTCAAATGTCTTTCAAATACAATACAAATAATTATGTATTCAATTTGAAGAATAAAATTAGAGTTGTTTGACTTTGATATATACAATTATCAACTTATTTCACACATTATAAGTATAATTTCTAATATGTGTGTGTGTGTTAGTGTTTATTTAAAAAAGTTTAAAATGGATTTAAATTTATTAATCATAAAAGTAATTCACTTTAGTATATTGTGTACCATCTAAAAATGCATCGATCCATTAAATTTAAATTCAAAAAACACATATTAAGTCATAGCATGCATTTACAACATAAAAAATATGGAGTATAAAAGTTATTTTAGAGTGATATTTGACTAAAATTTAACTTATGCTCAAATCGATTCGATATTCGTATTTGATTCGTTAACTATTCGTATTGTTAAACAAATACAAATACAAATCGAAATTAATATTCATTTCATATTTGAATTCGAATTCGTATTCGAAAAAATTAAACAAATACAAATACAAAATCTCATTATTCGACTCGATTCGGTTCGTATACAACCCTAGGTAAATATTCCCGAATGAGCGGAAACATGCAATGCAGTTTGGAACAACAAAAATAGGGTCAAAAGCCAAAAGGGGTCGAAAACCGACACTTCTAGATAAATTTCGGGCATCAAAAGAGAAAAAAGAAGCTAAGTACAAATTTGGGCGTAGGAACCGGTGCCGGTCATCACACATCCGGCGCCGGTCGTTTGGTTTTTTTTTTCAAAAGTGACCTGTTTCCAATCGGCGCGGAGCGACCGGTGCATTTTTGCACACGACCGGCGCCAGACACCCCATAACCGGCGCCGGATGTTCCGATTTCTGCTACAAACACAGCTACGTGCAAAAGATTTCTTGATGGGAAACTTCATCTTCTTCATATTTGATCAGATATCTCCTCCATACCTGTTTGTTGGGCTTGAATAGACTAAAAGATGTCATTCTTTAGCCTATATAAAGCCCTC